AATTAAAATGAGCAAAAGGAATCTTCATTTTCGATATTTCTTAATTAAACCACAGTTATTAAACACGTGAAACGATGTTGACAAGATGCGCTCGTGACGATGCACAAATGTAAAGCAAACAACAAATTGTAACAATGTCGCCAGATTAGAACCGTTTGTCACTAACAAACATCGTAATTCTGCAGCAAGCTAGTCAACCAGTTAATGACAAAACTTGTCAACTTGTCACAAATTGTTGAAAAGCAGAACGACAAGAAGTTCTCAGAACTTGTTACAAGTCTGATCAAACCATTAACACAACTAAATTTATTCAATACTATAAATCTACGCGAATTTATTGTTTTCGGTGTTTCGTCTTGCTAGTATACAGCAGCACAATTAAGCACTTTTGTTGTCAAAACTTAAGCATGTAGACGAGTATTGATAAGATTATTCAGTACTGTAGTATATTCAAAAGGTAAAGTGTTATTAGTAAGTTAGTAAATCGGATGTGCATAACTTTATGCATATTCTTCTCTATATGTCAACAATAATTTATATATTTCCAAACATTTCCAAGAATCATTTTTCAATCATTTTCTCCATTTTGTGCGCGATCATCACGTTGCCTTGGTCACATGTTCTTATTCCTTCAATCAATTCTTGAATATTGGTCGTTTGGGTTAGTGTAGGTTTCAGTAAGTACTTTATATCGTTCTACACATGATGTTCAAAGTCAAGCGAGCAAATGATGCAAAATGTTCCATTACATGTGCTTGCCATCACACACGAGATGAATACATAGAGTGAACAACACACTAAGAATTTACGCATCTCGCTCAATATAACTAACAGTTGAAGGTTTTTGTAGAGGGAATTTCTAGCGGAAGACTTTTTGCAGACCCACCCAGGAGCAGTTGTGAGAAATGCCAGTATAAGCTCTCTGGCAGGACTCTAGCCTGCGCCACTGTCAGAAGGCTTATAAAGTTGCACTAGATTTTTCGCAACTGTTCTTGCTGAGGTCTGAAAATTGAATACTTCTGCTTGAAATTTCCAACTACAAAAACCCTTGAACAATTTACATACATAACTCTGTCTTTCCTTTGAGAGATGACCGCCATGTGCTGTCTCTTACTGAAACCCATCTAGTGAGACCCATCTTGACCATCCGGTCAAAGGTTAGTGGAATGTCCATACTTAGAAAAATATTGTGTATTGTGTAGTCGAGTATTACCGGTCGATACAAAATACCTTGTGTATCATATAAGCTGTACCTACACCAAGATCTTTTCATTCTTCCTCCCCCTGCACTGCAACCACAGCAGCTTGTAATCCGGGGGGTCGTGGTAGAGGTATCTGTTGTTTCAATATCTGTGAGAAAGTAGGATATAATATTAATGGACTGAAGGAACACCACCACACCTTATTAGCTAAGGATTTATTAGAGGGGGCTTATTAGAGACGAGTTTATTACAGTGGGGGCTTATTAGAGCGACGACTTTATTAGAGAGGGGACTAAATATCGAGGGGTGCAGGGTATTAGCTACTGGGCCGTGTTATCGCGGCCGAAAGCGGAAAAACACGGCTAGTTATTGTATATAAAATAAGGTGGTGCCACTTACAACAGACCGAATTTCAGACTCAATTTCTTCCTATTTACGTCGTAAGAAAGTTTGTAAAATCTACTGTTGTTGTTGAATTGGCAAAAGCGATTCGAAATGTTTTAATATTTTGATGGATAATGGGAACTGTATAGTGTTAAAATGGTTTTAAATACCCCCAAGAGTTCCTGCTGTGTATGCTCGCCTTGTATTTGGTTGCAAATTAGCAAAGAACAACCACAAGCATTATTGTTGGCGAGCATAACTAGAACCGTGATTTGGCTATTCAAGGTAATTGACATGTGCACGCCCTGGTCATTAGAAACACGCCCAAGATCTAAAATCCTAGCCAAGACTCTGGAGGGGTGTCGTATGCACGAATGAAAGGAGAACCTATCAGCAATGGAAGTTATCAGAGAGGGGCGTAATAGAAATGGGGCGTATAAGGAGAGAAATTATTGCAGCATTTGCGCAAACATTTGTCGACCGAATTAAATTCAAGGACACATTCAAGGTTTTTTGTTCGTAAAATCTCGGATGACTATCCTGGGTGTTCACAAACCATGTTAATCATCCTATATCAAATCAAAAGTAACCTACCTCAAGTAGTCTCGCTCTATAATCATCATCGCCTTCAGGTTGTACCCGAGCAGGAGGCTGGATCTTTGAACGAAGGAATACTATGTGCATTTCATCAATTGTCATCTTATCTGCAGGATCGATTCCATTTTTATTGATCAAATCAACCAAATATTCCGTGTAATGTTTTCTAAAATAAGTCAATGTAATGTAAGATTAGTAAATTAAGCTGTTGGAACTACCTGAAAAGACTGAAAACGTGTCCATGTTTGGTGCGCAAAATTATTGGCTGGTTTCACCAAGCACCATCGTGCAGCAAACATGCATTGGTGACAAATAAAATTGAGAGATGTAGTTTAATTTCTTGTCCCTGTAAGTGACAATATTTCTGCAGTTGACCACGATCTGCATCGCTTGTGACGCTGACTGAAACCTAGCAATGCACTGAGATATCTTACTTGCACAGTCCATCATGGTCAGGTTGACAAACCATTCCACATTCAACATCGTCCATTCCCGCCTCTTTTTGCAACATAACTTTACACTTTTGGCCTCCTCCCACTGCACCAGGGTTTTCTTCATCATCTTCGAAGTGAACAGAAGAAATAATGATTATAGATTCATGTTTAACACATGAATGAGCCTACATGACCAGAGCTACGCTTGTAGAATACTACCTAGACAGGAGATAATCTCAACCATACCTTGCACAGGTAACCCTCTTGCACCAGCCTTGTAATCCACGCCATTTTCTTGCAACAGTTCCTGTAATATCTCTGGTTGCCAGTCTCTCAAGTAAGACAGACAGTCGCGCGGATGGTGAGCATGGAAGCCCTTTCTTGCACAATCTGGGGATACATCACAAACCTGAAAATGAGGATATAAACATGATTTGCAAGTATCGAATCGTTGTCAGTTTTCAAATGAATAAATCTCTAATCTTACTGTACCAGTAGAAATAAACCCATGTACTGGATGTGCTGTATTTATACTGTATATTACTGTATGCTGTACACTGGGGCAGATGCTACCTCCACTGAAGACAACAGGTTACTTACCTCACCATGTTTAAAGGGATTGTAACATCCACTACAAAATTCGTGTCCACACTGACCACACTTGAAATGCATACAGCCGCCTCGGGCGAGATCATAACGAAACTTACATTCGGGACAATCTAAATATATACAAAGCTCTTCAAGTTTCACTCTACAAAACATCTTAGGTTTCCCCAGGCAGTTTTCTCCTATAACACACATATAGTAGCACGAATGCTTCTTGGTTCTTTGCAGAAAATTTTCACTGTTCTCTTGCGGTCTCGAAAAGTTACTCACCGATGCCATTACGTGCAAGATGTCCAGCGAGACCAGCCATTTGATAATCTTCGTCGTTTTCTGCCTTCCATTGAGCAAACTGTTCACAACTGATCCCTTGATGTTGATCCTCCCACTACATTAATGGACAACTAATTTAGTACTTGACTACTCACAATGTTCCCAGATGTTCTAGAAATTATCTTACTGGTTTTTTGCAACTGAAGCAGGTGAACCTTTGACAGTCTGGACATTGCATCTTGTTTACGTTTGGAAAATCATTGATAAATCCATAAGAACACTGAAGAAAAAGAATATTTACTCTTTAGTTCATTCACTCACAATTTTATGTCATCTTTCATTCTCCTTCCTTCCTTCCCCTTTCTCCCTCTTCTCCTCCAATCTCCTTATCTACTCCTCTTTTATCCATCCCTCTCTTCCCCCTACTTCCTTTCTTTCATCCTCCATTCCTTCCCTCCCTTCTTCCTTCCCACCTCCAGCCTCCCTTCCTACTCCCTCCTTCCACCCTATTCCTCTCCCCCTTCTCCCCCCCTCTCTCCAATACCATCAATCCTTCTATACTTACGTGTGCGCACCATCTAAAATTCGGTTCTTTCCTCAAAGCGCGATCACGCAATTTCTTTTGAAACAGATCGTGCGTCTCAGGTTCAACAAGCCCTCTCATCTAAATTGAAAATACAATTGCACATGTACAGCGTACTAAACTATCGCAATATATGGTAAGGGTAAATGATTATCTGTAAAACACAAAATAAGGCAACAGACAAAACGTTTTACCATGATATCTAAATTGTTGAAATACAATGCTGCTTCAACCTCGTCTCTGAGATCAGGCAAACCACACACAGGACAGACAATTTGATGAATTTGCATTTCTTTAATACGGATTTCCAAGTACTCTGACACACAGACCTTACAGATTTTGTCTTGACAGCTCAGAAATGTAATCATCTAAACAAAAAGACGTGGATAACTAGTAAGTTATAATATTACACTATAACACATTATAAAATAACACTGCATCAATAAGGAATGGGCTTATTGGACCTCTCGAAATAACAGTTTACAACAGTAAAAATAAATTTTAATAAAGTTAGTTTAGCTTAGGTTTCAACCAGCAATAACACTAACAAGATAAGGGATAGCTCGAACTGATAGAGTTATATCCAGTATAAAAAATTAGTTTAGGTTTACCTGACCCATGGGCTTATCCTCAACACATATCGGGCAATTCTGCTGTAAATAACCGAGGGAACGTTCCATATCTCCATAAGCATCCGCGGCTTCTATACAATCTTCCAAATTGAAACCCATATCTACCAATCTTACAGTTGTATCAGCTCTCCCCCAGGACTGCATCTTCTGCTCGGCAAACACAATTCGTACACGACGCTGCAAGGAAATATCTTTCAAATAAGTAAAGGTTGGTTTCCCCCTCATGCAGCATATGATGGTAACCTGCAGTTGTCACAAAACCACAATAATTTATTCGTTATCTGTAGTAGTCTTGTATTTGGAGACAAATACAATTGTTCTTCATGAAAATGGCAAATCATATGAGATAAAGACGAAAAATACAATAAAAAAAATATTTACCTCAAAAGGGGCATTCTTGTTTCTAACAATTTCTTTATAAGCTTGATCTAACCCGCTGGTACTCCGTGGTCCGGAATCTTCCAGGTCGTGCAGTGAAAGAACTCGTCTTCTGATCGGTTCCAAGGCTTTCACTTCCAACTCAAGCAATGCTTCTTCCAAATTCCCGTCGTTTCTGTCCAACGCATTCAGACAATCCACTCGACTGAAGAAAGAACTTTCACCCATCTTCGCAAGCTGAAGAAAACGGGAAGATATCGAGTCAATTTCCAAATTAACAACATCAATTAAGTATATTTCTAAACTGGAAGCACTCTTCTCACATGTGAATGAGGTGAAATTATAATCAGACAACTGCAAAAAAACGGAAATGAATCTGGGAGATAGAGGTGAATTGTACCACCAAGAATAGATGAGTTAGAGGTGAACTGTACCACCAACAACTCACCACTACCAGCAGTTACAAAAACGTAACTTTCCTGATAATATTATTAAGCTTGTTAATATGAACTCAAGCAAAACCAACTGGAAAGAAAATTAATTTATAAAAAAACATGTATATAACGCGTGCTCTGATTGGTCGAAACCCGTGTTTGGATCAGGCCATCCAAACACGGAAATTTAAAGTGAAAGTTTTTTAAAGTGAAATTTTAACACGGAAAGTTGTTATTTTATAAAACAATTACTTTCTGGTTTCCGTGTTTGGATGGCCTGATCCAAACACTTGGGAGTGTTGCTCGAGTTAAGAAAAGCGCGCAAAATCAGTCGCCTTCGGCTCGTGTTTCGCGCGCTTTTCTTAATTCTCGCAACATTCCCGCGTCAGGCCATCACTGGGCCATCCAAACACGGAAACCATAAAGTAATTGTATAATCCTCTTACCTTTTCTCTTCGCGATTCAATACAAGCCTTGCATGCACTTTCAACACTGCCATGATTCTCCAGCAGTCCTTGTTTAGCTTCATCTGTGCTCAAGTTTCCAATGCGATCATTTTCATTGCTTGTCTGTTGAGTGACTCGACCAATCACTTCTACTACGCGATCAGACCACTCGTCCTTCAACCACTGAACTGGGTTCCGTCCTTTAGGATCTTGCCAGTTGAGGTGGTTCGCAAGGTTTAATTCTTCTGCAGTAAAACCAAGCTGTTCTGCTTGCTGGTGGAAAAATTCATGAAGATGAATTACACATGACGTATATGATGCTATAAATGGTCATAGACTATCAAGATATGATAATCTGGAAACTAAACAGAAGTCATTGTATTATGTTTTTGTCGGAGTTTACGTTAATTTGTGCAGGGTCACGGTGATTGAGCTCATTGTATTTTCGTATAATGAAGTAATCATCCATTAGGGATAGCTGAAGTGAAACATGCAACCACGATGAATAATATTTAATGATTCGTACTTTTTCACGTGACAATAAGTATGAACTGGAAAATCTTGCAATGTAAGGTTGTAAATGTTCTGCTCCCCCGTGGCTGGGATATAATCGTCTAAAATTCACAGTTACCTTGACCCATTCGACGTAAAGTCTGCTTTGATCATCAATAAAATTTCCTCTCGTCACATTTTCCAACGGTTTCTTCGAGTTCTAGGACAGATAAATTAAGAAATTATTAAATCATTTCTAGACCCCCATGTGTGCCTCTTCCTTACAAGATTGGCTAGCTCCACAGATATAAAATCTACTGACATGGTTTACTAAGAGACCAATTTAAACGTAGTTGTTGACAAACGTAAACTTACCAGAAAACTCGAGAAATTGTCCTTGGCCCCCTGGGAAGGCATACTGGCATACATTGTTGATGATAGCTTATCATAGTGTAGCACTGGTGTTTCTCGCGTGACATTAAATTGATGATAAGTAGAGTTCTTGTATTTGTTGAAGTCACGGGGTCTTTCATTTTTCTGTTGTGTGTTAAACTGCGCGCGCATCTGTTGGTTCACAGTGTGGTCGTGTTTGGG